TGAGAAAGCTGGAGAACCTCCACTTAGAGCCTCCTCTGTGCATGTAAAAGCAGATTTAATTCATATGATGCTTCATATTCAGAAGGTGCTCAATGCACCATACAGGTACAGACCAGTTTGTGGATTCAGCTGTAACATTTCCAGAAGCATCTAATGCTTTGAAAAGTCTAGTTCAACTGTATATGGTCTTGAAAGAGGCAGGTCTTACGCCATATTCTGCCTATGCAGATGCTTTTCTGTATACTTCGGGCATACAGCACGCTGGTTGCTCTGAGGCCCATCCTGTGTGCCTGCATACCTTTCTTAATGGTACAGGAAACCTGAGGACCTCAGGGTTGGGAGTTTGAGGGGGCAGCAGAGCAGTAAGGCTTTCCATATGCACCAAATTCCTCTAGAGAGTTAAGCCCTAAAAAAATGCAAGGGCCAGCAGGTAGAGCAAAGAGTTTCTGAACAGCAGTGGTAAATGTATGATAGACTCAGGCACATAGTTCCCCTCTGCAGATATACCCCTGTAAACCTGAACTGCTTCTGAAAATGGAACTAGTGCCTTAGAAACATGTATCTGTCACTGAGCAGCCTTCACCTAATCCATCACTGAACTGAAACGAAGCTCTTTGATGTGTATATACACATGACAGTTGAGGGAGGAAGGGAAAAAAATATTTGTTAATGGGAGATGATGGGGAAACCTCTTTACCTGGAGAAAATGTAAGTTAAATGCTTATAGCTAGACAGGATGCTGGCACTAACACCTTGTATTTCTTAGCATTTCTCTGTTTTTTTCTTTTAAAAAGAAAATTGCAGCAACTGCAGCATAGTGACCATAGTCACCCTGGGAGCTGAGAGCTACATGCTAACTCAGGGTGCTAAGGACAGTCATTTCCATCGAAAGTGGTGCTACTGCAGGACGGAGTGTTTCTCAGCAGTACCCCTTGCTGCTGCTAACCTTGTGTGGTTTGTAAAGTTTTGTAGTGAATTCTTGCACTATCAGAATGTCAGAATTGCTAAGTAAGTCACACCTGCACAGTGCAATATATTGCTACCCTGCTTAACAGCTAAGCAGTATTACTAACCTGGAATATTGAATTAAAAAAGCAATGTAAATCCAACCTTCAGGTACCAGCTTCCAGGAAATAGATGTGCTGCAGAGAATAAGGAATATGTAAGGTATTTCCTGCACCCACAAGCAAAGAATTAGGTTGCAGCCTTGATCTTCCACCTACCAGATCCCATTAATCTTCTACATGAGGATTGCTGTTGTGAAGGTTATAACTTCACTCCTGTATGCCCTACATAAACACATATGCCTGACCAAGCCTTGCAGTTTATCGTGATTCAAAGCAGAATGGTTGCAGTTTTCTCTAAAAATTGGTGTGACTTAGGAATCATCCTTGCTGTGGGTTAACTCCAGTAGGCAGCTAAGCACCAGCTGTGCTCTCGCTTCTCCCCAACTCCCAGTGGGACAGAGGAAGAGAAAAGGACAAGTAAAGACAAGAAAACTTTTGGGTTGAGATAAAAATTGTTTAATAATTAAAGAAATGGAAGAAGAGAGGAAGAAAACAAAACAAGTGCTGCAAAGGCAATCACCTACCACCCTTCTATGGGTAGACTGATGCCCAGCCAGTTCCCGAGCAAAAGGTGGCTAACTCCCTTAAACCCCCTCCTCTCCCTTTCTATTGCTGAGCATGAGGTTATATGGCATGGCGTATCTCTTTGGTTAGTTCAGGTCATCTGCCTGGCTGTGTCTTCTCCCAGCCTCTCACGCAGTCCACAGTCTATTTGCTATGGAGGAAGAGTGCTAAACAGTGAAGGCCTTGGCACGGTGCAAACACTGTTCAGCAAGAGCTAAAACATCAGTGTGTTATCAACACTCTTTTGGTCACAAATCTAACCCACACCACCATATGAGCTGCCATGAAGACAATTAACTCCATCCCAGCCAGACCTAGTACAATCCTATATTAAGATAATATATCCTGCAAATAGGATATCTACAAGTATAAAGATCCTGATAATCTTTTGGGGCTGGATTGAATCTTAGCAGTCTCCTTGAAAGAAACTTGTGTCAGTAACGAGATTTGCCATAGTGCATCTTAGTAGATCTGATTGTGGGAAAAGATACGCAGTGGATCTTGCCACTTTTACAGATTCACAAGCCACAAACATTGTTTTCATTTCCTAAAAGTAGGAAATTAAAATACCTAATTTTCATTTATACTTGCTTCTATATCACTCTGGCTATAAAGGGACCTGAAAGTGGGTATATTTTCTTGTGTCAGAGCAATATAAATAGATTTTATGCAAATCATATCTCCCCCATCTAGTTTTATCTATTTTCTTGCTTTAAGTGGCTCTATATTGACTTTTCTGAGAACACGTCTTCAAAATACAAAGTAGAGGTTTTCTTATTAAAAAATTACACATTTTCCATTATAGCTTCCAAAGAATGTGTGAGTGGTACCTCCTAAAGGGCTAATCTTGTTGAAAAGTGAATGAAGCAGTTGGATTATAACTTGCTTTCTACAAAGGGTGAGCAACGTTTCCATAAAAAGACATTTTGCTGGCTCATAGGCTCTGATTCCCTAAATTCATTACCTTTCAACATTTAGTAGAGGAACCTGGAGATCAAATTTTTCTTAAAATAAATCAATGTAGGGAACTGAAGGAAAAGTGGAGAAATTCAAGTTTGCCTGAATTGGCAAGTTAATGATATCATTTTCGTTGGTGCTTAAGATAATATTAATTGCTGACATCAATAATGATACAAAGCCAGCTATCTATCTTTTCTTATGATGTGAAGGATAAGACTGTAAACCATCTATCTTAACACAGTCTCTTACAAACTGTCTTGCCCAGCGGGGCATGAAAAACGGTTGGCATGAATTCTGAAATACTTTCAAAGGATGATAAATTCAGAACCATGTCAGAAAAGGAGGTGTAGAAGGACTACTCAGTGCAAGTGAATTTTATTGTGTCCTAATAAGTTTCAGTCTTTTAAAATGCTGTGTCATTAGCAAGTGTACAGCACTTCAGTGCCTAAAATGACAAAATGACAGCAGCGTTTCATAATGCAGATAATTTAATGCACATTTGGGTTTGCCTTTGCAATAGCAATGTTGGTTTATGCAAAACTGAATAGGTGAATTGAATTCCAGCAGAATGCATGTTCTCACGGCAGACAAAGTAAAACATGAACACACAGAAGGTGATTCAGACATACAGCACAGGGTAAAATTCTGTCTCATTCCAGAGTTTGGAAGGAAGGTCAGAGAACCATTAATATTGTGAAAATAATGCTTAAGTGCACTGTAAGTGTTAGAAAGACCTGGTGCTGGCCCTTTCCACAACAGTGAGTTCTACCCAACAGTGGTGTGTCCTGTCAGGAAAAAGCCATAGTGTTTTTATGCATATCTCCATAGGTTCATAACTGAACTGATAGTTCAGCACAGTTTGTAATGATCTATGCATACCATTAAGCAATCAGATACTAACAGCTTCACTGGTAGTGCTGCATACAATTTTTATTTAAGGAGGCAGTAAGTACAATCCTGAGATGCACAGGTTGCACACTTGCTGTAGGACAAGGGCCAGCCTGTGATTTTCAGTATCTTCAGTGCCTTGCAGGAGGAATGTGAGCAAAAGAGACACAATCAAATACTTTGACTTTTTTTGCTCTAATTGTGATTTTTATTCTTGCCAAGTAAATATGTAAAAGTAGTTGCTCTGTACTCAATGTGTCTGCTCCCTCTATATGTTCAGAGTCATATATAAGTAATGCAGTTAAAAATAGCACACTTCTAGTGATTAATAGTTCATAAGCTTCATACCTCTTTTAGCTACCTGTTAGGACATGGATTCTGTTTTTTCTTGTGTTTGCTAAGCAACAGTCATCTGCACAATTACATGGACCTTGCTAAAGACCATCAAAATTTGAGAATGCAGGTGTAACTGAGCCAGTTTGGTCCACACAGTTTGCATACAGGTGGTGATGTCAGGCATGAGAAGGGCAGAACTCCACATTCAGAGGTGTAAGGAGGAGTAAACGTTTTTGCAAGAGATGTGAGCAGTTAGAAATCACTTCAGGTCAATAAACCTGGAACCCATGCTGTTGTTTCACTGTGGTTTTGTTTTGGAGACCTATGGCAGACAAGAGCAAGGAGGAGGTAGCACTCTTCAGCCAGCTGTTGTAAGGCCATCCAGAACTGTGCGCAGCTGCTGGGACCTGGAATCGGAAGGGCTGGTTCATAAGAGCACGCTAGCCATTTGCCGAGAGCCACCTTCTCTTTAGCAGCATGTTTTGTGTGCAGTGCTTCCCCCTAGCCTGGACTGACTTTGAAGGGTAGGGATAAGTCTCTATACTAGTCTAAGATGGGGGAGAAAAACTCTGGATCCTGAACTGCTAAAAGGAAGCAGTCTGTGTTCCAGAATCTGGATTAGATTTTTGTCAAGGAAGAACCACAAAAATGAACAACTGCTATGTTTCTTGAGCAGTAAAACGTGCTCAGAGTTTTTCTGGCTAGAGACTATTTGACTTCCTCCTAGACAGTGTCATTTTGCCTAGTAAGCACATAATTTGTAGATGGTGCAGGATACTATTTTTAAAAAAAAAATCTTATTTTACCGAAAATATTAATGCTTTGCTAATAAAAAGACCATTAAATAAATTTTAAACTGCTCCCTGAAATGCCTTTCTTCATTGCTTTATTCTAATTAGGCACTTTTTTACATGAGAGGTTTTGACAAAGTATTATGGATACAAGTGGAAATAAAACCTGTAATTCTTCTGTAGCTGAAGTCCTCAGACCAGACATAATTGAAAGCAACATATATAGTTGTTGTGCTGTGTTAGTGTTACTAATTTTCCAGAAAAGATTTTCCCTGTGTGATATCTTATTCAAAGTTACCTTTTCAAATAATGTTGTGATGCAGAGCAAATTTTTATTGGCTTAATTTTGAAGTCAAATTTAAAATAATAATATGATCCTGTTTTTCTTTGACAGAGTATCAAGAAGAAAAACACAAGTAAACAAGAGATGAGCACATACCTGCGATTCATAGTCTCTCGTATGAAGGAGCGGGTGAGTCTGAAACAGGGAAGTTTATCGAAGCGTTGGGTTGCGCTGTAGAGGATGCATTGCGGTTGGCCTTGTGTGACTGTGCAGGGAGGGCTACAAGAGGGTGTCATTTTATTTCCCCTGTCATAAGTGGTGTGTGTATTTAAACATATATTTACCATGTCTCACTGCTTGCATTAGTATCATTCTGGCAGGAGTAGTTTATACCATGGGCCTGTGGCTCCTCTGAAATGGACTTTTTCAGGTTTGAGACACATGTAATCTGTCAAATTGTGGATCTACAGTTTGGCCTTATGTATTCCCCACCTGAAATATTCCAAACTACTGCATTTTTTAATCTTTTCTTGTGTGTGTGTGTTTTAAGCAGATTCTAAATGCAATAACTTACACTGTCTCATGGTCCTTTCAGGCTATAGATCTAAACAAGAAAGGGAAGGACAACAAACACCCAATGTATAGAAGGCTGGTGCACTCAGCTGTTGATGTCCCTACTATACAGGAGGTAGAGTGATTTGCTTTCTAACTTCCACACTGTTCATGTTTTAACAGTGAAGATAAACCTTCAGGACTAAAGCACTAATCCTGATTAATTCTCCTTATGATCAGTATTTCAGTATTGTATCCAGCATTGGATATGGGAGCTTAAAATTTCAAACTTTTCCTTATAAATAGGTAACCAAGTGAAGCCATTTTGAGTGGTGCCTCATTTTCAGACATAGAGTATCCTCAATTCCTTTTGTACCAAGGTTTTACTAGGAGCTGTAGGTAGCTGAAATCTTCAGAGAAAGTACCCTTTTTCTAAGTCACTGAATATGGACTCGAGTGCCCATGTTTGCATGTCTGGCCCAAAGTTTTTGACCATTTTAGTCATTAAGGGCTTGTGTAGGTGGCAACTTCATAAACATCTAAATGATTCATAAAGAACCGTTTTGTTGATCACAAAAAAACAAGAGTCGCTTAAAATATCTGGTTTTGCATTAATGGTTCCAAAGATAAAGTACTAGTAAATACGTTGTCCTTTTTTTCTTAACCAAAGGTTTGACCATGACTCATGTAAACCAACTGCACATGACCGAAATGAACAGCATATTCATCTTTATTCATTGATGCACTGGATTACTATGCAATGCTATAGTATATATTGGCCTTTACAACCATAGATGTGAAAAGCCTTCTATTATTGTTATTGAAACACATGGATAAACAATAGCTTCACTGGCAGTTTTGGAGACCAACACTACTGGCTGGCTTGAAGTACTGGCAACACCGGTTGAGCCTGAAAGTAGGCCAGGCCTTCCTTTCACTGTCACCTTCACCTGCTTCCACAGAGGGTCTTTTGGCCTTAATAACATACTAGGAACTGATGATGTTTTGTTTGATGATTGGAATTCTCATAGGTGTTCCTGACAGAGCACAACTGAAAATGCTGCATTCCTTATCAGACAAAAGACCATGCTAGGAAAATGAACTGCATGGCTCCATGTAGGCATTTGTTAAGAGTTTGGAAAACTAAGACTATCAGCTTTCATCAGAAAACACTGACTGTGAAGATCCTGGAAGTATAAAGGCAGTCAACACTGATTTGAAACTAGTTGGTATTTTAAGGTACAAAATCTTCACCTCAGGGAATATATTTTAATTTGAAGAAACGTTCTTGGCCACACCTTGTGATGAAGCTAATCCAGATTTACCTTGTTGTAATCAAGAGAATTTTTTTAAACTTAGTCAAGTAGTAAAGCCCTGTTTTACGTTTGGGCATTGCATAAAGGGACCAATGCAGCCAGTGTTCAGGTCCTAATAAATCATGTCAAAGAGTTGTAAGTATTCCTTCTGTATGCAGGAAAGGCAATGTCTGATCTGTGTTGCAGAATGCAGATTTCTGTGAAAGCTGCTCTGAGTAAAACAGGTACAGCAGTTTAACAGTTTTTTTCACAGTACTATGTTTTATTTTGTGTAGAAAGTAAATGAAGGAAAGTACAGGAGTTACGAGGAGTTCAAAGCAGATGCTCAGCTGCTTCTACACAACACCGTGATTTTCTATGGAGGTAAAGTACTACATTTATGGCTTGCTTTATTTGATTTATCGTTATCTGTAGGAAACTCACAAGTTCAGGATTGAGTTTAGTATTAGATAATCTTAAGTGTGGATGAGGTCATTTGAGAGCTCTTAAAAACCGAAGTAAGATGCAAGAGGACTTTGCAGGGTCTTTTCTGGCCTACATACTACCCAACTATTTTCATCCTCCCTGGCTAAACCTGTTAGGGGGAATTTGCACCTTTACCATCCTGTTTCCTCTGCAGCCTAAGTCATAAGTCAGTCTGTACTGCAGATTTCTGCCAGTATACATATGTTGTTCTAGGGTGGAAAGAGGTCTGATCTCTGATGTGCTGTGTCAGCAGAAATGTAGTATAGACACATATTTTTCACTCATGGGCAATATCTGCCATCTTGCGACAGCAAATATAGCTACATCCATAGTAGAAGTGTCCAGCTGGTGCAGTGTGTGGAGGTGCAGCCATCAGAGAAGGTGCTGGCCGCTGGGAAGGTAGTAAGTGACTGTTTGATATGGAGGGACAGTCCCATTGCAAGTGGAAACCCACTGCATCCAGAAGCTATAGCCAGATCCTGTAACAAGGTTCTCCAGAGGTATCATTTCAGGAAGAATGTGGTTCTCCCCTGCAGACACGGCCTACGTCAGGGACACTGGGAGGAGGAAGGAACCAGTCTATTTGTAGCATCAGAAGATCCACACTGCTGTGGGTAGGGAGAGATGTGAATGTGCCAATAGAGAAATACACAGGGGTAAAGGGAAACACATAGTGATAAATAGTCTGTGAAGCATTACTCTGAGCAGAAATACCTGCGTGATTGTAGCTGTGTTCCTGTCAAGTGGTGATAGCAGAGAGCCATGTTTTAGGACAATTGCAGTGTGTCACTGAGACACTAGCAGAGAAAGAAACTGGATCCATATTAAGAGCAACCCTGTCTCCCTGCTGCTGCTCCTCAGATACGTACTTGTATTGTTCAGTTTAAAAGCTCCCAACAGTATTTTTGCATATAAATATGAAAGAGAAAACAAATATAGAACTGATTGTTAGAAAATTTTAAATGGAGGGGTTATCCAAGTGACTAAATTATGTTTTGTATTCTTGCGCAAGACAATTATAGCATGAAAGTCATAGCAATGACAGCTGCAGTTCTTTGTGAGCACTGTGATCGTACTGTGATTGTTCATACCATTTATTTCTAATTTGCAGCGGACAGTGAACAAGCTGATATAGCGAGGATGCTTTACAAAGACACATGTCATGAAGTAAGTAGTACCAAGTAACCAAGATGTAGACAAGATACATTATTTTCATTTCAGAATATAAGAAAATTATTCTTCATATTACAAAAATAAAAAGGGTGTGAAGTTTGTTATAAATTTTCCCCTAACTTTCTAACAGCTGATCCAGAATTCCTTTTTCTTTTTTTTTCTTTAACTAAACTATCATTTGGAAAATATCAATATTCAAATTTTAGTTTTGAAATTAATCTAGTAATACATAGTTGGACTAGAAATAACTGTACTTGCTAATATGAATTGAACCTGAGGTGAGATTCCTACCATAATCGGCATTGAAAGATCTCTCAATGTTCAGAGAAGACCAAAGAATAAGGCTAGGGGAGCTGTCACACTTTCTCCATTTATACAGTTGAATGACTTCTTTCAGAATGTACTTTAAATATTTCATGAGTTTAAAGAACTATTCTTTGTACGTTAGCTATAGTAAATCATTAGGAGTTGAGTTAGTATCCTCCCTCTGCCTTGTTTTTCCAAAACACGAATAACGATTCTGCAGCTTGTCTTTCATCCACTGTCAGCTCACCTCAGTTTCACACTAATAGTTTGCACACACAGAAGTAACTCCACCAAATTAGCGAGCAGGCCTGAAAAATTTTACTACTTAAGAGAGAGGGGTAATACTGATGTCACTCAAATCGGAATTTTTGGGCTTATGTACCTTTTTTTGTTTTTCAGCTGGATGAACTGCAGCTTTGCAAGAACTGTTTCTATTTGTCAAACGCGCGACCTGACAATTGGTTCTGCTATCCTTGTGTATGTTGCTGACTCAGATTTTTATTTGTTTGCTTTTCTGTATAAAAGCCTGCAGTTTTGGTGTTATTAATGCATTGAATATTCCATTTCAGTAGGCTTGTTTCAAAAGCATGGTTAAGACTCTGTAAGCCTAGATGTTTTACACAAGTGAAATGTTGATTGAAGTTCAAAGCTGTAACAACATAGGTTATAAAACTTGGTTATCAGCCAGTTACAACAGTCTCACAAGAAAAAAAGGAGCTTACAGGAATAAAACTTTGCTCCTGGGTGAAGCTGTTAAAGACAAGTTTAATTTTTGGGCTGCCTAAGATCTCTGTTTTCAATAGCCAGTTACACCCTTTTCAAACTTTGTATTTTTTTTTTTACTTTGATCCAAGTAATACATCTAACAGGGAAATATGTACTGTAAGAAGATAAAAATGAAAATAGCACTAGACATAAACAGCAACCATATTCTTAAGATACTAGCATAGTATTACGGCAAAATATTTGTGGGAGATATCAATATAATACTTCATATCCAATAATAAATACAACATTTTTTCCAGATACCTAATCATGAGTTGGTTTGGGCCAAAATGAAAGGCTTTGGGTTTTGGCCAGCCAAAGTCATGCAGAAAGAGGACAATCAAGTTGATGTTCGCTTTTTTGGCCATCACCACCAAAGGTAATTTATTAATCCCATGTGCTGCTTTTTACAAACAATACTTAAAAGAATTTATGTCATCTATCATGTGAGCTGAGCCAATCCTGGCTCAGCTAGTTGCCAACATTAGAAAGACTGAGTGCCGTAATTGTTTCAGAAAATTTAAAGCTCAGTCTAACACATCTAAAGTTGCCAAATGGCTCAGAGATTCCCTTTCCACAGTTGCCATAGGGATGTTACTTAATGCCATTTTAATTAAAGCAAGCAAGTGGATTTCAACTGTTTCTTCAAATCAGTAGCAGCCTGCTAATCCAGGCCAAGGTGAAAATTGGACAGAAATGTACTCTTACTACCAGCATATTGACTTTGTGCAATTTTCTCTTCTGAGCAGGCACATTGCAATTTTATATTTTAGTAACATAATATACATCACAAATGTTTCTGTCTCACTGTTATAACATTGACAGAGCTCCTGCTGTGAGCCAGTTTGCAATTTCAGAGAATTAACTCTTTACATTGGAAACTTCACTCTTAGAGATCAGCTTTTACTTCCATCTCCAGTTTTTTCTTCAGCATTTGGGGAGGGCTATGGTAGTGTTACTACAGTGGATGTACTGATTTTTTTTTTTTTGCTGTGTGATTTATATGCCTATAATGTGAGGATAGGAGACATTTGCAAAGTGATTCATGGTTGTTGGGAAGGTGGTATATTTTGGTGCATCAAAAAGGGCCTAGACAATTCACTAACAGTGTTTTATGCGGCTGTTCATTTAAATTGCTTTTAGTGTAACTCGCACAGCATATAGCATGTTTTCGTTTGTTATATGAACTACCAAGATTTTCTAATAGGCATAGTGTGTTTAAAGGATCTTTATTTGTGTCTCAATCACAGAATTATTTGCCTTGAATCTGTTTGCAAATACAGCTTATCTCATTAGTAGTTTTGGCATTAAATTCACGCAGCTTCAAACTATTTAATAAAGTAACATGGCACTTGTGGGATGAGGTACTTACAACTTCTTGAACGCATGCTGACAGAAAAGGCAAAATACATTTTACTGGAGTGCCATTACTGTGCTGGACTTGGACAAAAGGCCGAATTCCTGGTTGGTGTAAATTAACACTGTTTGACTTCACTGAAATGAAATTTATATTGCAAGAATTGAGAATCTGCCCACAGACATTTAATTTGTTACAGTATTTACTCTGTTATGTAGATGTGCATGGCAGTAACTCTTTTTCTTTAATGTCCAATGTTGCTTGGTATTATAACCTTTCAAAATGTCAAGAGCTGCCCATCTAACTCTAAGAGGACTCTCTGAAAATATTTATGAGGACAAAGTACTTTTGGAACCAAGTCACTGCCATGGCAGTCCCCACGTGAGTTCAGTCCCGATAGACAGGGGCCCAGACTACAAAGTGTAGTTCGAGGTGATAATTTGGTACATTCCATGACAGTTTTAGCAGAGAGGTCAAGGGCTAAATTGGATTAGCATGTGAGCCTTCGGTAAAGACATTTCTGTGTCTGACTCAGGGCGTTTAGCAATACAGCAGGTAGATGTGACTGCTGTTGGTGCTGGGGAGGTTTGTGGCACACCAAAAATGAAAGAGACTTTCAGCGATAGCACCCACACCTAACAAGTGCTTATAATAACACGAATGTCTAATGCCATGCAGTCCCTTTTTTTTCCAATGTGTTGAATATACAAAAATTCTGAGTAAAAGGGAATTGTCAGTGATCAGCCACTGTGAAAAACTGCTTTTGAAGTCAGTTTCTCAAGTCAAGATCCTTCATCTGTATTTAATGTTTCTGAACCTGTCTGTACTGTGTATTCAAAAGGGCCTGGATCCCCTCTGAAAACATTCAAGACATCACAGTCAACATCCATCGGCTGCACGTGAAACGCAGTATGGGGTGGAAGAAGGCCTGTGATGAGCTGGAACTGCACCAGCGTTTTCTTCGCGAGGGGAGATTCTGGAAATCAAAGAATGAGGATAAAGGGGAAGAGGAGGCAGAGTCAAGTATCTCTTCCACCAGCAATGAGCAGGTGAGTGCTGCCACGATGTTAACAATCAGGTCAATTTATTAAAGGGTACAAAGATGACATATTTTGTGATTAATCTACTATTAAATTAGCCTTGTGCTCTGTCTGCAGTTTTGTGAGGACAAGAAGAGGGTACAAAGGCTTATTTTCCCTATGTTTTGTGGCTTAGTAATAGCAAGAATATAAAGTTTTCCTCTTTCCTCAATTTCTTGGATGACCTCTGGGAAGTTTTAAAATGTTTGTCACCTACAGCACCTTGATGAGACAGACCAAGATTTCTAAAGTTAAATAGGAATGTTCAAGTTAAATGTCATGCATATCAGATACACTGCAACACTGCCTTCTTGGACACCGATCAAGGGATGACAGCCCTGTAGCTGTGCAGCCTTTTCACAGCTGGAGTATCTTCACTTTGGACTGTATTCTGCATTACAGATCCCTGAGTAACCCCAACCATGACATTTTCGGCAAGTCCAACTAAAGTTAGGTGCAAACATTGCACTTGAGGACCACGTGACCAGCAACTGGTTAAAGTAATTAAAAATAATTCTGCATAACAAGAAAAATTATATTGATTTAACAAAGGTGAAAAGCACAAAGGACCAAGATACAAAACCTTGCATTGCCATATGGAAATTCCCTTATCACAGCTGAACCTTGCTAGTCATTCATTGTGCAAGAGAGAGTTATATATTCACTATTACTGACTTGGCAGTAAGATTTTCATAGCTTGCAGGATGCTTCTCTGTATCTTTGGCAGCCCTTTCCCTGGCAACACCTTTTTTCCTCATTTAAAATCACTATCCTCTCTCTAAGTCTGAATTTTAAAAAATCAGCATGTTTTGACCCTTTCACTATTTTGTCAAACAGGTCTATCATCCAATTTGTAGCTAAAAACTCAAAGCGTATAAAACTGGAAGTTGCTTTAAGGGCATGTTCCTTATCAAAGCGGTTTTAGGTTTTTTTTTAGCCTGGTTTGCTTAGCTAACCCTTAGTAGCCCCTTTATTTAATGTCACGTATGCAGTCATGCAACAATGCATGATGAAACAGGAAAACGGTCACAACACTTATGAAAGAGGCATTTTCCCAGTTTTTCAGAAGTGTCAGTCATAAGGTTTAAAGTGTCCATTTGCGTGTTTTCTGTTCCACCCCAGCTGTTCATCCTTCACTTGGTATTATAACGCTCATACCTGTTTCACTGGTTTCCCAGATACAGGAACATAAGAGTAGCCGTCAAACTCGTGCTCTGCAGTAATCCGCAGTATCCTGTCACTAACACTAGCTAGTACTGGATGCTTCAAAGACAGGAGTAAGAACTTTGCTGTAAGATATTGTAAGATAATATACCATCCACCAAGACCTCACCCTTGTTCCCATTGCTGGAGATTGGCTTTTCTTCTGAAGCATGAAGTTTCATACCACTCCAAGCATACAGTTACAATCAATTGTAGCGAGTCTGGATAATCTTGCTATCTCTACATATATAATTATTGCTGTTTTCTGGCTTCCAACAAGATCTGCTGCCTAATTATGGGTCACTGATATCAGAATATTCTGGAAAACAAGTGTTTGAACTTCTGTGTGAAATGAAGAAAAGAATGGTTAAGGCTATTTTAGCAAATATGTATTGAATGTTAGAACTTGCTCATGAATTTTGTTCCTTCACGTAGTCTTAGTCATCAGTGATAATGTTGAAAGTTTATTTTGTGCACTTCTCATTTAAGAACAGTATTCAACTTTCTATTTGCTAAATTAAATAATTGCAAATAATCAGAAATAAAAGGTACCTCAGTCATGTTACAATGAATGCTGAAATGATTTGGGATGATTCAATATGCTTTTCTTCATGTTCACAGCTGAAGGTTACTCAGGAACCAAGAGCAAAGAAAGGTCGACGTAACCAGAGTATGGAACTCAAGAAAGAAGTAAGTAACCTCAATTACCACATTTGTAGAGGTAGCAAAGTACAAAAAGTTTGAAAGTTTAATAGACACTCCTTTGGTTTCTGTCAGCTTTTACTGATTTTACAGTATAAACCTTGGAAGTTCCAAGCCCATAGTTTGGTCCTCCTTGCTAACAAACATAACTGCACCTCCCACATGCAAGCCACTGTTGTCATTGTGGTAATATTCTGTATCATGAATAAATCAACAGTCAGGTTACAACATTTTTTATTTTTTTTAATGACAAATTCAGGCTAGTTAGTAAGTCTATAAACAGCAGAAATTAGTATTCTGCACAATCAAGAATATTGTTTATAAAATGTCTTATCTACCCTTGTCCGTGGAACTTCTTCCCTTGTTTATCCAACTTGCACACAGAATGAAGCAGGGGAAACGGAAACCTATGATCATGTAACCAAGGGACTGTATTATTATGCTTGTACACAAGGGGGCGGTTACTGAGACAGCTATAAATCTCTCATTTCCTAATTTTTGAGTGCTTTTTCCTGGCCTTGTTTCAGCTGCATGTTGAACACTAAGAAAAAATTGCACATATGCACAGGGGACTCAGGACTCTATTACAGAGGAGGGTTCGGGTATTTTAGCACCAGTGTTACGTGGGGTGGCCCTGGTGCCGAAATACAGACATTGCCACTCCTAATACCTGGGCACCTGCCTCCCTGTTGTATCTGATAGCGCAGGGCCAGCTCTGTGAGGCGCCTTCATCGATGGAGGCAGTGACGCAGTTTGTGCTCCCTGGGGTACAAACTATATTTGAGTGCAAGATAGGGAGACTATGGTTTCGGATGTCTCATCGTTTTTATTGTGTTTTCTGTCAAGCAAATGCTGTAATTTGCTTCGTATATTTATGTCTTAACATTTGCCTTCTTAGCTCTGCTCATGTTTGGTCAGTGATCCAGAAGTCAATCTCAGTGACCTATTAGAGAGTAATTGGTTGCAGAAGGGAATACACAGCCAGCCTTGTGATTGGTGTGAGCAGTGCCCCATCACACAGACAAGCGCGAAGTCCAGTCCTGAGCCAGTCTGATGTTACAAGGACTGTGTGCTTTGTCTGTACAATGTTAAATGAGCTTTAAAAAAAAGTCTAAGTTTAAAAAAACCAAATAGTGTTCATCTGTGTCTTCAGACACTTCAAATATCAATAAGTGTTTTCAGGGATATTACTTTTATCTGTTCTAAAGAGCAGGAACAATTGGTGTTACAGTGTAATAACACAGACTGCTAAATTCAGTACAGTACACTACAGTAACTATGAATTCTTTCTTGATAATTGTGTAATTACAGAAAGCTATTGTGGTCATCCAAGTCTAGCTCTATATTATTGGAAGCAAGACTTAGACGCTCATTAGCCTTTCATCTTCAAAGCACCTTTGAAGTACTAATCAATCTTTGCAGCAGTTCTGTGAAATCAGTGGCATACTACAGACTCCAGTGGAGCCTGTTGGGCCAGAGTAAGCCCAGAGTTTGCCAAAATAATTCAGGCACCTTGGTCATGCAGCTACCGTCTCTTCAGGGAAAATGGTAGGGGGAAGAATCTATAACAACCCTTTAGTAATCCCAAGGGATCTGCAGTGATTCAGCATAGCCTCTGATGGTGGTGGTACTTTTTGGGAAGTGAGGCTGGTGAGTATGGCATACTGATGCCATACCTGTGCTTCCTTCTGGAGGGCTCCTAGCTGAAGTCAGAAAAGCCTGACCAAAGAGCCTACCGATTGTCATGCTGGTTTTCCTCAGGGTTTCCGTGTCCCATTACCACTGAAGGTCTTCAACAGACACCTTTCACATTAAGTGCACAGGCATTAGTCATGCACCACCTTTTTCTCCAGGGGGAACTGAAGTTAACTTGTTCTATTTTGATACCTGGATTTACAAGTTTGTTTTTTCTCTGTAGGAGCCAGAACCTGAAACTGAAGCAGTAAGTTCAAGCCAGGAAATTCCCACAATGCCTCAGCCCATTGAAAAAGTTTCAGTCTCAACTCAGACCAAGAAGTTAAGTGCCTCTTCTCCAAAAATGCTGCATCGGAGCACCCAGACCAGTAATGATGGAGTATGTCAGAACATGTGCCATGACAAATACACCAAAATCTTTAATGATTTCAAGGACAGGATGAAGGCTGATCACAAAAGAGAAACTGAGAGAGTTGTGCGAGAGGCAGTGGAAAAGGTAATGCTTATTGAACACCACATACACTCTGGTTTGAGGAGAGGAGGAGTGTGGATTTTTTTCACATTCTTTCTACTTTTTTAACATCCACCCTTAAGAAATTGAATTAAAAAACATTTCCAAAGAGACTGCATAAAAATAGTCCTCATTCTTGCTTTTTAGACCATTTCTATACCAACAGACCTTAGTTTAAACAGAAAACTCCTGCTTTTTTTTGATTCTTGTCCAGTGAAATCAGTTTGTGATCCAAAAATGAAACTAATTGTTCATTCACAAGTATCCGTTTCCAAAGGCTTTGTCTCCATTGTCAAGTGTGGTTGTAAACAATGGCATTGTTTAAATGCTATTCATAAATAACTTCTGTCGATCTTCTGACCTAAACATTAAATAGATTCGCTGAAATTTGTTTGAATTTTCTTACCTAATGATAACCTGTTTAAAATCCAATATCTAAGCCTGAGCTGGTCACCTTTGGCTGGAGAGAGCAGGACAATTCAGAGGATGATTTGTCTGACCTCTCTTAAGTACCCATCTTAAAACAAGATGAATCTCCTTCTGGATGAAGGACTATGGAACGAACCTAGGGAGTTAGGTGTTAATCCTGTAGGATTAAGACACCATACTTTTAGATTACTGAGCAAGGGCAAAGGAGTCCCACCAGCAATGAATAGTAAACATTACCTCTTACTGAACTCAGGGATGTTCTATTGTGTATTTTCCATTGTGCCCTTGCTGTAGATTTATATGCAGTTGTAGATTTGGAAAAGACAAAATCTTTGTCTAAGATAAATCCATAAATTTGTAAACTGATCATTGACAAAATATACAGGGAAGCTATTTAGCTGTTTCTGTAGATGCCTAGCAGAATAGAAATACGGTGATATTTTTATTTTCAACATTTCTTATGGGGTGGAAGTTTTGTTTATAACTCTAAAGGAGAGAACTTTTTGGTTTCTAAATAGGAGAAATATCTAATTATGTGACCTCCACCCACATCAGTAATAGAGGTTTAAAGAGTAGGGGCTTAAAGAAGATACTTCTATTCTAATAGCTGTCCATTGACTTGTTTTGCTGACTTTCTTATGGCAGCTGCGTACAGAAATGGAAGAAGAGAAACGGCAGGCTGTAAATAAAGCTGTAGCCAACGCACAAGGAGAGATGGACAGAAAATGTAAGCAGGTAAAGGAGAAGTGCAAAGAAGAATTTTTAGAAGAAATTAAGAAGCTAGCAGGCCAGCACAAGCAACTGATTTCCCAGACCAAGAAGAAGCAGTGGGTAAGTGTCAAAAATGTATTACAAGAGAATAAGTGGAAATGTATAATGCATGCTGCAGGCCAGCTGAAGGTGATTTCTTCCTTACTTTTAACTGCACTGCTCTTTCACTGGTCTTTCAGCTTTAAGGTTTTCTCCTTCATATTATTGCTTTCAAATGTTCTTAACCTCCAAATTTCAACTCAAAGTTCCAATTACTTTCAATCTTAATTATGTGGTGTTCACAGCACCATCTTTGTCAGTCCAGTCAGACATTAGTATCAAAATATTTTTTTCTAAGTGCAGTTCTACTCCATATAAGACATGTTTTGCATTATGTTCACACTCCTTTGATCTCAGGGCCCCAGAGGGTACAGTATCTGGCTGCATCAGTTTGGATTCCCCTGCTAATAACACTGGTGGTGATATCCTTTTGGCCTTTTCCTCTCCTAGATTTTTCTGCAGCTCTTTTATGTTCTTTTGTGTTTAAGACAGGACTTTCTGAAATCTATTTCCCTCCCTTGTTCAGTCCCTAAGCCAGATTTGCAGCATTGCCTACAAAAAATGTGTTTGTATGCCTTTTAGAAAAGTGAAAACAGACATCTAACTTACCGTTCTGTCACATGCTGCAAACTTTTCCCTGGTTTTGTGTGGTGTGTGTCTCGTGTTTTCTTTACAAGCCAGAAGTGTGTTCTCCCACATGGCTGTACAGCATCTACTCAAACATTGCAAGGACTATATAATACTGTGCTGCTAGCCTGTAACAGAGTACTGGTGGAAACTGCTATACTGAGGAGCAGTGAGCCTGGCACACGTACAAATCTTGCTATTTCTTTGCTAATTTTCATAGAACAAGGAAATGAAAGCCATCGTTCAGGACATCACACTGCACTGTAATAGCTATCTATAACATACAGTAGGGTATCTATAACATACAGTAGGGTGGGTACAGGATTTTCTACTCTCCTCCTTTTGAGCTTGGATTTTGCTAGATGCGGCTGAGGAGCATGTGGGTGCCTTGCCACAAGATGGCACGCTGATCTGAGCAGCGATGGACAGCCGCCATCCCACTGTCACCGCCACCGTCGCCAGGGGACAGCCAGCCCTGGCTCCCTCCCACAGCTCCTGTTTGTCTTCCACCGTAAGGGGCTGTTTGTTTATGTTCAGCCTCATTAGCCCTCGTTCTTACAGATGAAACAATGGTCCCTGCAGAGAAAACTCTGCTCTGTAAAAGAGTTAAATAAATACTAAGGCGAGACAATCGGTTGCTGACTATCACAGTTATGAGTTTGGCTTTTTGTAAAGAGAAGAATTACTTCGAATGCCAGAGCTCCTGTCAAGCCTTCATTCCTGTTCCTAGTAGAGATTTTACTGTGGATGTTACAATACTGCACTGCTCGGGTCTCTGTCAGTTAGAAAATTCCTCCCTGTCTACCTATCACTGCAGACCAGAGAAGTTAGTTAGGTCTCCGATTTGATCGAATTATTGTGTTTAATGAGTCACCAGCTGCTGGTGGCTGCATGCATGCTTTTGCCTGTGGCACTTGAGAGGAAAATTGAATTGCCTTTGCCCACTATAGAACTACGTCAAATTAGCTCTCTTTTGTCAAAAGTTAAGAGTGCACATGTGAACTGCTGCCACCATTCAGCTGACATGCAGTAACTCAATCACAGTAACTTGACTTGAGTCTGGACTCAGCTGTAGCTGCTTTTTGGTGGTTTTGAAGGCATAGTTTATGAAAGAGATTCCCAAGACATACTTCAATCTGCTCCAATGTGCCTTTACCAAATCCTTTAGCGTAATCAGAGAGTGCCCTGGTACCACATCGCCGCATCTTATGATCATGTGCATAAAGCCTCTTTCTGAGCCAGACAATTAAAGATATAGAGAGTATTAGACAGTCTCGCCTATTTCTGTGACCTGAGAACTATCTGTCAATCACCACCTTATCTGAAAGCATCATACAGGCGGCTGGTTTGCATGTGGTAGGAGAGGGCAGGTAAGGAGAAACACCTTTGTATGGATCTGCCTGCCAACACACGGCCTCGGGCGGCTGGAGTTGGTCCAATTACACAACTCCCCAGTGATTTTTTCTTCGGTGGCACTAATGAGCGTCCCTAGTGTGTAGTACGGCTCTTGTATGCTGCTATTATAATGATACCTCCTTACCAAAATCTCATGTAATTAACACACATACTAAATGAGTTTTGGTGGCTTTGCTTTTTAGTTAGAAGCAGAGACCTCTGGTTTTGCATAATGCCGATGTCTAGGCTTGGGAATACAGCAACTATTATTCATGCTATATTTGTCTTTTTTTCATATCTTAAAAAGAAAATCCAGTCAGGATGAAGGGATCGTTTTGCTGGTGGTGTACAGGCACATGAGAAGATGCACTCCCAGCCCTCAAGAGCCTAATGCATCGTTAAAGAACAACTCTTTCTTTTGCTCTAACTGGTCACAGTCCCCTTGGCTTAACCCAATTTCATTTTTATACCTCCAGAAAAGTAAATAGCAAATGAAAGGAAGAAATGTAAGGGCAGGGATACCAATCACGACGTTGTGCAGTTTGATGGCCTCCAGAATACAGGCTAGAGTGCCGGTCCTGACAATGTTTCTTTTTTAATTTCTCCCGGTTATTTTATTTGCATATAAGCCTCATTTAAATTGGTGCATCATTCACTTCTAACTTCTGTCTCTTTCAAAAATATTTACATATGTATTTATTCTAACTTGCAACAGGTTGTTTTTAAGTGAATTGAGCACTGTCCATGATGTGTACTGTCTGAAACAAAAACGCAAGTGATGGATAACATTTAGAAAGAGGAAAATACAAAGCAAAGAGGAGGCCTGAAGGCCACCTGGCATTTTGCCTTCTCTGCCACATGTGCTGGTACCAGCTTAGATGACACTATTTTCCTTTTGTAAGTGGAGATTTACATCCCACACTTGGGGCCAGCATATGTAGAGGGAAGTGTAAGACCCACAGATCAGTTGTCATCTCCTGCCTTAGCTTTTTTTGATCTCTCCAAGCAAGCAGATGTGAAGCTGGTCTCTGTGCTGGGGCCCATGCTGTACGTAATGGAGACACAGCTGTTCCCTGCACCTTTCCAGCAGATGATCCTAATGGTTCCCACAGGCGTGTGGGCAGCCAGCAACATGAAAAACCAGGAAAACAGCTCTCGAGAGCACACTTGTTTGCAGACATTTCTACAAATGAGCTTCCCTGGAGCTAAGTTATAAAAGGAAAATGGAGAGGTTCCCTTCTCATGCAGCTAGGGCAGTCCCTTTATTGCTGATGTAAATAAATAGTTATTGGTTTAGCCAATGTAAATGTCAGCTTTCTTGGACCTGCCTTTTAGTCGTGTGTAGGGCTGTTGTGGTTTTGTTTTGTTTTAAGGCAGTTGGGTTTGTTTTCTTTGTAATTCTGTTTTATTAACAATGCTCTAGCTAGACAGGACATAAAAAGTAAATTGTGTGTTATTCTGTGGTTTGATAGCAGCCTACACAGGCTGTGTGGTACCTCTCCCTCTGTTCCCTGTCATGCAATAAGCATTTCAAACTGGATTCATAAAGATACTCTTTGATTTTGAGCAGACCACATTCAGAAAGACAAACCTGAGATCCTTAGAACCTGGCTCTCAAGGGCTCTGAGTGTAAATGGTTCCTTTAGCAGCAATGCCACCTTGCTTCATGGGATTTTGTCAGAATGATAGTTAATGCTTTTAGCACTCCCTGAAGGGGTATAAAACCACCTGGAGACAGGGCACATTGCCCGTCTGGGTGCCATACCTCCTTGTTGACCACCTGTAGTGTTGGCCAACATGTTGTTTCCCTTTTTTTTAGTTCCTCTGAGGCTACAGGTTTATTTTCCAGGTAGCTCTTCCAGCTACCAGGAAACTGGGGGCATTCTATGTGTGTTCCAGGGTAGAAATCCTCTTTGCTGCAGCACTTCCCAGAACCAAGTATTTCTGCAGAAATCACAGGCTGTCTTTCAGGAGTTTTGTGCTGTCCTGGCAGGCATGACAAGGGGCCAGAGCCTGTGTAGCCAGCCTGTGTAGCCTCCTCTGGTTTCTGGAAGACTTGAAGGAAAAGACACGTTCTTGCTTTTCTCAATAGCACTGATGTAGCATGAGGTTTTCTTTTCACGAGATTGCAGCGCTGCCTGGCTGTCAAGAAGCCCCCAGGACAGCAGCCTCCTTGCATACCCACCCTAAACGGGCTATAACAAACCACTCCGTAACGAATTCTTCTTTTCTCCAGTGATGTTATTGTTGCGACGTTTGAGATTTTCCTAGCCCAAAGAGCATCTTCCCCAGCAACCTCTGGACAGGTCAGGTTTGTAAAGAAACCTCAGAAATGCCGATTTTTAAGCTTGTGCAGAACCTGTTCACTCCAGAAGTGCCTGTTGATTTATCGTAGCTTTTAAGACATAGATCAGGGTGCTGTTATACAAATGTAGGGTAAAAGATGGTTCTTGCACTGTGCGGCTAAAAAATGTGAGTCCACTGCCCCGAGAGATGAGTTTTCTTAAATGAGAGATGATTTTTTCAAAAGCAATAATCCAGACTCTGGAAAATACGAAAGCATTGTGCAGATTTGTTAAAGATTGCTGCCTTACTCAGCACGTGTGAAAGATGCCCTCCTGCCTCTGGATGCCCCGAGCATAAATAAGAGAGAGAAATATTGCTCTGCGTGCGCCGGTGCATCCACACGCGGGTGAGAACACGTGTGCGTTGGTAAGGAGGGATCCCGCCAGGGTGGTAATCTCGTCTCGTTTGTTCTCTCCAGTGCTACAACTGTGAAGAGGAGGCCATGTACCACTGCTGCTGGAACACTTCCTACTGCTCCATCAAGTGTCAGCAGGAGCACTGGCATGCCGAACACAAACGTACCTGCCGCAGAAAAAGATGAAAGAGTTATTCCTCCCCTAGAAAACCACCCCGATGATTGCTATTCTCAGACACAGCGGTTTTTGTTTCCAAGAAGCCAAAATTGTTTAGAATTTGCTTCCCATTTTGCACCAGCCTTTAAACACTTTTCGTAAAAGAAATTTTGCACAGTAATTTCAGTCTTCTGTTTAATGCTCCTCCAAAATTTTGTCAGCAAAATGAATTCAACATCTGTGGGGAGCAGGTTACTTTAAATAATTTTAAACTGGAGGATTTGTTGCATTTTCAGCAAATTTTAAAACATTTTTAGGTTTTACAGAGATTTTAATCTTTAAAAACAGCAGATCTAAAAATAAAAAAAAATCATGCAAGTTTAACAAAAGGAACATTAAAAAACTAGATCTGAATGTAAGAAGTACAGAACTGTTTCAGAAAAACGAAGCATACTACCTTGATGTAACATTTATTTCTTAACCTTGTTGAGCTGGTTTTGTTCAGCTTAATTTTACTGTTTAAAGGCATTATCTATTGGTTATACCAGTGGGTACATGATTGAATTTAGGGAACAGGGTTGCCACAGCAGGTACTAGTCCTGCGTATTTTTTCTTAAATATTTCCCAACTGTGTTTTATTTTCATTATTTCTTTTCAATATATAACTTTTATAACAAAATATTAGCTTTGATCTTGTAGTTTAAAATCACAGGGAACTGGGGTAATCTTTTACTGAGCTGGATCTTAGAGAAAAATGAATATTTAAATTTTGAAGTTTGCACATTTCATCTTTGTCCTAACATGAGTGCTTGTAACAAGAATAAGAAAAGCCAAAAAACCAACAAAAAAACGACTACCTTTATTCATACATGGAATTATGAGGCATACAAATTTCTTTATTGCGCCCCCTTTCAGCCTCCCCAATCCAACATCATTTGACTGCCTATGATCTGGTGTCACCTGGTCCATTGTAACTCGAAAATAAAAGGAGAAAAAGCACTTCAGTTTCACAGAAGCCGTTATGTTTGTAGTAATGGGTCATTGCCTAATAATGAGCTCCATCACTGTACTCAGAATGAAGAATAATGCATGTTAATTTTCTTGTATTAAAGATGCCGTGATTTGTAAAAAGTCTGTATTTTGCGGAATGTCTGGATTAAGAAGCATTACCAATAGGAATGGATCGATAGTTGAAAAATGATTTTTCCTTTTGTTTGTTTTATATATAGATATATGAATTGCATCCATGTTCAGAGACAATTTTTTAAATAGATGTAAAGCTTACTTAAATAGCTTTTCTTTTAAAGTGTCTCCGCATTTTAGTTTCTTTCAAAGATTGGTCTTAGACTGAGTCATATGCCCATTAATCATCCAGCTATTTTTTGAGAAGTTAGAGGAATAATTTGTAAATATTTATTTAGATCTTTGATATTTATTGAAAGCAATTACATGATGGAACGATGGAAGCTGAAGAATCAGGAGGAAAGCCTTTAAAAAAGTTTTCTCTAGGTTTTGTCAGGGTCATTGTAAAGATGAAAATATAACTAAGACTTCTGTGAACTACCACTGAAATCCTGATCGTTTTTACTTACAGTGGTGATATAAGTTAATTGACTAGATACTGCCAAATAATGCCCACGACGTTGCAGAAATTAAGTGGTCAGTTGATTGGAAACAAATAGTAAGTAGATGGTAACTTGTATTACCACAGCTACATTATTGCCTGATAAATGTGTAATTAACTTTTGTCGCCTCTGTGTTGTGACTGTAAAACACTTCACAACTAAAAATCAATCTTGTTCAATTACTTTACAAGTTCCAAAACTTCGATCCACCCCTATGAAGGCAAGTTATTGTGGAAATATTTTTGGTGTAAAATCATTCCAGAATATGTAATATTTAACTGATAGCTGCATGAAAGTAAGATTCGTGTTACTTTGGCTTTTTTGTCTCTGTTGACACGGTTGCACATTTCCAAGTTACTACAGCGTGAAAACTGTGTGTTTTAAAGAAAAAAACAAAACAAAACAAAAAAAAAAGATTGTGGCCTGGTTTTGTATAAGTTTTAGGTAAAATTACAATTGATTGTTTTAGGAATCATGATTTAAAATTAATTTTTCTGCAAATCATAAAGCTATATTAAAGTGTTGAGCTTAGCCACTATGCACATTGTAATTATTCATTGTGGCTGTCCAGTTTATGATGCATTCTGGCATTTTGTAAGCTGCTCTGACTAGCAATATATAGAGTCATTTAATGTGTTAACATTGGTTAATAAATGTATTTAAAAAAAACAAAAAAACCACCTCACTGAAAGCGTCTGGGTTGATTTTGGCCAGTTGTCCTCAGGTCCTTGGGTGGGCGTGCATGAGGCTGCCGTTTCTCCTTGTCCCAGAAGGAGCAGGGCTGTGGCTGGGGGGGCTGTGCCCGAGCCTGCAGGGGCCTTGCTCCGGCCTCGGGGTGAGCTGGTGGCAGGTCCCTGCAAGGGCCCGAGCACCGGCACCGAAAGGGAACCTTCTCAGCCCGCTCGGGGCCAGCAGCCTCCGAGGGCTGCGTCCGTCGTGCTCCGGTTTCAGCGCCCGGTCCCGGGCCCTGGGGCTCGCAGACCCCTTGCCCCCGCGCTGCCTCCTCCCCAGCCCGGTCACCAACCCCGAGCCTGCGCCTGGCAGATATTTTATCAATCAAATAATTTTACCTGGAGGGACGGAGAGGACGCTGTGAATCCAGCTCCAGCCCGAACGGCGGCGTTTCTCTTACAAGCGCGGCCCCGCACAGCCGTCTCTCTCGCTTATTTTCGAAGTCAGGACCTGCTGCCAGCGAGATGCCCGAGGGAGCCGAGGGCCAGGGCCGGGGCTGCTGCCCATGGGCACGGCCCACAGCCACCCCCAAGAGAAGGGGCCATTTGGGGACGAGCCACGGGTGGGTGGGGTGTCCTGCAGCCCCATCGTGACTTCAGGGCCACTGGAGGGACACTGGGGGAATTGGTTCCTCTGTGGCAATTAAGAATTTCCCTGTGGGAATTCAGACCTGGCAAGACCTGCTAGTCCCAGGGGGGAGGGGGAAAACTGTATTTTAAATATTTAAAGATACTTCAAAAGTCTCCTTTATTATTTTACTATCGAAACTTTTCTGTTCTTACATGAGTCATAGCATTTTACCCGAGTGCAAATTTTATTCATTCTTCATGATGAAACTCTATTAAATACAAATAACCAGCATAGCACATACATTGCAAATGAGTCATTTATGCTGGACCAAGCCAGCAAAGCCGGATCAGGAGGAAGCCACATCCCCCCCGTGCTCCCCTCCCTAGGCCCTGGGCCTTCTCCCCTTCCGGGGGCTGCAGAGGGCCTCCAAGCACAGCACTGCTCCCCAAAATGCCTGGCGGAAACGCTGCCCCCCTCCCCTCCCTGCGTGCATTTGCCAGTTCAGGTGTCACCAGTGGGGACAAACAGGCTAAATGCTTCAGAAGTGCCACGGCAGCTTCCCAACTCCATCACTTGACGGGGTTCTTCTGTGGCGTCCTGTACCCATAACTGTACCCATGGACCATACCCCACGGACTGTACGCCATCGCACCTCCCACGCCGGGCCCTGTCACCACCACCCCAGCAAAGCTGCGGGGGATACATGTCCTTGCACTGCCCCAAATCTGCAAAATCCCTTCCACCAAAAATCTTAGGATGAGCTGGGTTTTCCTTGAGCTGCTTCACCACTGCGGACAGGGCTGTATCTCGCTGCTCCTGGAGCATCAGTCTTAAAGGCTTTATTTGGCTTTTTATTGTTGGCTTTTCCTATTTTTTAATCATTATTATTCTTGTTATTGTTAACATTATTATTATTGCTATTGTCATTATTTAATAATTTTTAACTCTGGTTATCACTTTATTTTATTAAGGAGGAGCAGTGGTTTCTGCCTCCTTCTTCCTTTAGGTGGAGTGAGCTGCCCGGCTCAGGGCTGGTTTGCCTTTCCAGATCTTAAATGACCGAGCATGTGAAATATGTTTGGGATTTGTTACCCGTAGTTAGGGGCTACCCAGCCAATTTTAGCCTCACTGAGTGAGAGCACATATGTGATCTGTGCATATGCTTTCCAAATGCTTTCATAAATCAACTTGGGGGGGGATCAAAACCAGAAAGCCCTTCTTGCCTTGTTTCATGTCAAGGAAATTCAGTTGCAAATGGAAAGGTCCATCCATATGTGAGAATAATGGAGTATTTTGGGGGTTTAAGTGGGAGAAGTTTATAGTTAACGCAAAAGGAAAAAAACCCAACTACCTTGGACCTTCCAAAACCCTGAAAAAACTGTCATATTTGATCTTAATAAAACCTATTTCCAGACATCAAAAGGCTCAAAAGTACATTAGACTCTGAATAATGGTCTTTAAAAAAGAAATGCTGGCTTGCTAAAGGTTCAAAATTGTAAAATCAGAAAGAGAACCCAGAGAAAATTAACTCTAAATTGCCCCTCCTGCTCTCCACGGCCATGCCTGCCCCAGGACCTCTCCACCCCCTGGCAGTGAAGTGCAGAAAGATGCCGTCAGGCATGGCGAACGGCGATGGAGGGGCTGAAATTAAATACAGCGTTGGCTTTGCAGAGAATTTTTGCACAGAAGGGGACTAGTAATTGAAGATAATACAGACGAAAGGCTGAGAGAGCGAGCACAGGCCTTGCTAAAAGGCAGAGCAATGTGCTTGTTTACGAAGCCACCAGCCAGTTTCTGTTAACTCCCTGGAAGTGAAAACTAAGCTGGCGTAAAGCTTCAATGGAAATAGGATTTGCCCCAGAGAGGTACCTAAAAATAAACTGGAGTTCTACATAGAGGAGACACCATGAAGCTGGTTGTACAAAACGCTTTACTAGTCTTCGGAAAAGAGCTCTGCAGCAGAAAAGAAGGTTTATTAATAAAGCCAGAGTGCTATTTTATTTTTAACTACTTCATTAAAGGGAAAAGTCTCTTTTGCAGCCGGCCACTGCAGGTGGCTCAGGACCTCACGTGAGGTTTCTGCCTCCCCTCCGCTCATGCTCCCATGGGAAGGGAACGTGGGGGCCAGCTCTGCGCGGGGCTGGTGCTGAGCCACGATCCCACTGGGTCACAGCAATGAGCTTTTGTCCCTTGTAACAGGCTCTTCAAGGTGAGAAATGGCTTCATTAAAAGCAAAAAGGGATTCGGTGCCTTGTGCACAGCAGCTCTTGAAGCCCCTGTTGTCGGGAACAAGGGTTTTGCCTGGCGTGGGCCACCCCGCACGCCTCGGCTGATCAGGGCACCCCAATAACTGTCCCTGTTAGGAGGAATAGGAGCCATTTCCATGCAAGAGAGCTGTGTGGGTCTGGCGTGCTCTTGGGAGGGAGCAAAAAGGGGTGTCCAAACCCCAGCAGCATGGGCGGTGCGGCGCAGGCAGGGAGCTCCCCTGCTGTCCACGCTGCAGCTCGGCCCCTGCCAAGGAGCAATGCTGGCTCCTTCCCAAAGAAAAAGCACGGCCAGAAACTCTGCCATGCGTGGCTGATGCACTGGAGAGAGAATTCCTCTGGCTGACACAACACTTGACCGAGTGACAGAGCCTACCCCTGCCTTTTCACAAGTCTGTAAAGACCATGCATGCCGGAAAGCCCTTTATTTTTCCCTGAAGAAACAAAAGATGTGCAACTCCGTAATGCAATTGCTTGTGATTTTTTCTTGCGGATGCTGGGGCTGTCAACAATTTAATTCTGGCTCC